GGGGGGGGGAATCAATCCATCGGTCAGAATAGAGCTGGAAGGGACCTCGGAGGTCTTCTAGACTAACCCCCTCTGCTCCTGCAGGAGACCCCAGACATTTCAATTAATCAGAATAGAGCTGGAAGGGACTTAGTCCAACCCCCGACTTATCTGGTCTTCTGTTCTTTTGGATAGATTTGGGGATTTTACAAATAACTCCCGGCGTGGGTGTCTTTAAAATTCACCAAAATAATCCTTTAAAAACTGGACTGCGGAGTACTTGTTTATTTCTATTTTATTTCTTTACCAAACTTATATACCTCCCGTCACCTTGGCATACGTAGTTTTGGACCGTTATTCACACTTACGACCGTTGCAGCCGACTTATGACAGTCGCAGCATTCCAGGGCTCCCGTGATCCGTTTTGCGACCTCCTGAGAAAGTCAACTGGGAAAGAGGGGGAAAACCAGGCTCGCTTAACAACCTTGCGTGACTCACTTAAGGACTGCAGGGATTCAATGGACAACTGCAGCCCCCCCAAAAAAAGGGGGGGCGGGAAGCTCGCTTTACAACCTGCCTCGGAAATTTTGTGGTTGTAAGGCGAGGACCGCCCGTAGGGATTCTCGCCGCTTTGCGCTCTGCACGTGACCCAATGGTTGCCTTGCCTTGCAGTTCACATCCAGACGTCTCGGGCCCTGATGGTGGTCTCCATCCTCCTGGGCTTCGTGGGGACGATTGTCAGCGTGGTTGGCATGAAGTGTACGAAAGTGGCGGACCAGAACCCCGTGGCCAAAAGCTGGATCGCGGTTTTAGGAGGCATCCTTTTCCTGCTGGCCGGTAAGGAAAAAGGGGGAAGAGCTCCCCCCCCCCACAAAAGATACCCAGCCTGAAAATTAATTGGAGGAAGAAATAAAGACGGGAAATGAAAGAGAGAGAGAGAGAGAAAGAGGGGAAAGAAGGGAAGAAGAAAAAGGAAAAAGGGAGGGAGGGAAGAAAGGAGAAGGAACAGGAAAGAAGGGGAAAAAAGGAGGGAGTGGAATGGAAAGGAAGGGAGGAAAGGAGAAGGAACAGGGAAGGGGGGAGAAGGAAAGGAAAAAGGAAAGGAGAGGAAGAGAAGGAGGGAAGGAAGGAAGGAAGAGGAAGTGAGGAATATAGGAAGGGAAGGGGAGGAAGAAGGGGGAGGGGGAAGAGGGAGGAAAGGAAAAAAACAGAATATGTTGATCTCATTTTTTTACTCTCCGCTGGTCAAGGGCCAAAATAAAGATATTATGGAATTCTGTTAAGGAGGGAGGGCCGGTGGCCACGTCCTGGTCAGGGGTGAGGGTGAAACAGGGAACAAAATTCCTCTTGTGGGAGTGTTTGGAGGAATTGTGCTGCTGGAAGGAGAGGGAGGGAGGGAGGGAGAGAAGGAAGGAAGGAAGGAAGGAAGGAAGGAAGGAAGGAAGGAAGGAAGGAAGGAAGGAAGGAAGGAAGGACAAAGAAAGAAAGGTAAGTAAAACATGCCATAAAAAAGAAAAAGAATAAAAGAGCAGGAAAGAAGGAAGGAAGGAAGGAAGGAAGGAAGGAAGGAAGGAAGGAAGGAAAGGGAAGATGGAAATGTAAGAAGAAAAGAGGAAGGAAGGAAGAACAAAGAAAGAAAGATAAGTAAAACATGCCATAAAAAAAAGAATAAAAGAGCAGGAAAGAAAGAAGGAAGAAGGAAGGAAGGAAGGAAGGAAGGAAGGAAGGAAGGAAGGAAGGAAGGAAGGAAGGGAAAGAAGTGAAGGGAGGAAGGAAAGAAGGAAGAACAAAGAAAGAAAGGTAAGTAAAACATGCCAAAAAAGAAAAAGAATAAAAGAGCAGGAAAGAAAGAAGGAAGGAAGGAAGGAAGGAAGGAAGGAAGGAAGGAAGGAAGGAAGGAAGGAAGGAAGGAAGGAAAGAAGTGAAGGGAGGAAGGGGAGGAAAGAACAACAAAGGAACAAAAGAAGGAGAGAAAGCAGGAGGAAGGGAGGAAGAAATATGGAAGTGGGCGCTGAGCTGTAAAATGGGGCAAAACTCCCTTAATAAATGTTTCATTTAGCAACGTCAAGTTTGGCCATAACTAGAAGACTACCTGTCATTTCCCTCTGGCTGGCCCTATTTATTTATGTATTCGTTTTCTCTCTTTCAGGGCTGTGCACAGCCGGGGCCGTTTCGTGGTACGCATCCCGGGTGACCCACGACTTTTTCAACCCCAGCACCCCCTTGAATGCCAAGTGAGTAGGGGAGTCCCCTTGAGGTCATCCATCTGGATCACATGTCCCACCCGCCTCCCAAATTTTGAATTTCAGTGCCCCAGGTTTCTTTAAAAAAAAAATAAAAAAAAATACTGCCAAGACAAAAAAAATCAATTGATTTTTCCTCCATCTCAAAACACTCTTTAAAAAATCATATTTTCCGGAAAGTTAAACGAAGGCTGGTTTGGAAAAACCCAGCCAAAAGCCACCATTTCACTCCCCTGAGTAGAGCCTCCATTGTCAAGAGCAGGTTAGCTCTGAAAAAAAATATATCAGAGAATGGGAAGCCGAGGCAGGTAGTCCTCGCACTTACGACCACAATGGCAGCCCAAAATTTCTGTTGCTAAACAAGACATCGGTTAAGTGAGGTTGGCTCCGTTGGGAGACCTTCCTTGCCTCCATTGTTAAGTGAATCCCTGTGGTTGTTAAATTACTCACCCGGTCATTAAGCGAATCCGACATCAGAAGGTCATAGAAAGGGGATGGCATGACCCCGTCGACCGTCGTAAAATACGAGTCAGTTGCCCAGAATTTTGATCACGTGTTCACGCAGAGATGCTGCTGCGGTAGGAAGGAAGGAAGGAAAGGAGGGAGGAAAGGAAGGAAGAAAGGAAAAAGAATAGCAGAATAACAGAATAATAGAGTTGGAAGGGACCTTTGGAGGTCATCTAGTCCAACCCCCTGCCTAGGCAGGATAACCCTACACCCCTTCAGACAAAGGGTTATCCAACATCTTTTTAAAAACCTTCCAGTGTTGGAGCATTCACAGCTTCTGGAGGCAAGTCAAACACCCCATCCAAATCCGCCTGGGATAATTAACCAGCATTGGTTAAGGATCCTGGTTAGAACCTGGTTCCGTTCTTCTTAACGACGTTTGGCTTTCTTCCAGGTACGAATTTGGACCGGCTCTCTTTGTGGGCTGGTCGGCGGCCAGTTTGCTGATCCTGGGGGGCAGCTTCCTGGCCTGTTCCTGCCCCAAACCGGAAGACAGGAGGGGGCAGCAATATTACCGACAATCACAACCTCCGACAACCGCCACGAGAGAGTACGTCTAAGCTTCCCTTCGGCTTGGATCTCTTCCGGGTGACGAGACTGGAGAAACGTGTGCCGTTCTCGACGCTGGGTGGGGTCAGGCTAGATGGCCTCTGGGGTCGCCCTTCCCATTCTACAAATCTCAGGGTTGCTTTTTTGTTTTTTGGCATAGGAGGGAGGGAGGGAGGGAGGGGGGCGGCCTCCCCAATTCATACACCCCTCTTTTAAAAAAAATAAAATAAAATAAATTGCAGCGTGGGGTGTCCCCAAAATGAAATCTCTCACGCACGGCCGGACAAACACACACACACACACACACACACACACACACACACAGAGCTTTCCTTGCATTGATAGTTTGGCAACTAACAGCCCTCTTGTGTTTTTTTTTGTTTTTCTTTTTTTTCCCCTTTTCAGACTCCCCGTCAAAAGGGATAATCACCAATGTGTATAGACACCTTCCGACATGGGAAGCCCAGAGCAGGCTTGAAATAATTTTGTTGTTTTTTTTTAAATGATAAGAATAATGATAATAATAGTCCAGTTTTCCAACATTCAGGCCGTCTCGTTTTGGGAAAGCGAAAGGAAGAAAAGAAAACGCCCCGTTTTGGTAGAATTAAAGCCGCTTTTTAACATTCTTATTGTTGTTATTATTGGTATTTTTTTGGCGCCTGGTTCTCCTTTTGACAAGTTGATGTTCTCCTGTTTTGTAAAATAAATAAACCAGTACATAAATTCTTGTATTCTGTTGCTTTGTGCCACATTAGGGTCCCCTCGTTGAGCAGTGGGGGTTGGACTAGATGACCTCCGAGGTCCCTTCCAGCTCTATTCTGATTGATTGATTGATTAATATAACCTAAACTCACTTGCTTGAGCAGGGGGTTGGACTAGATGACCTCCGAGGTCCCTTCCAGCTTTATTCTGATTGATTGATTGATTAATATAATATAAACTCACTTGCTTGAGCAGGGGGTTGGACTAGATGACCTCTGAGGCCCCTTCCAGCTCTATTCTTTGTTTGTTTGATTGATGGATTAATATAATATAAACTCACTTGCTTGAGCAGGGGGTTGGACTAGATGACCTCTGAGGCCCCTTCCAACTCCGTTATTCTATTTCAGTAGCAGAGACCCCTGAATCAGCCATTCCGGCTCTTCAAAGTTGATTGTTCAATTCAACCTCCTTTTTTTTCTTAATTTTTTGGGGAGAAATGGGGAGGGAGCTGGACACACACCTACAGGAAAGACTCGTTAATCTGATTTTTCTGCACAAATTGATGCTGCGAAGGAAACAGCTGGAGTGGAATGTCCTCCGGCGGCTATTTTTCGGCATCCAGCTGGGATTTTGCCGAGTTTTCCTCTCCGAAAGAGGGGGGGAAAGGGGGAAATTCTGCAAGAGTGAAGCTCAGCTTTTCGGTTCGGCATCCCCAAAGCTGTTCTTGCGCACCGAAGCATCATATTGTGGTACTTTTAAATGGGAAAAAAGGGATGGAAATATTCGCAATCGGCCGATGGATACTGTTTGGAGGTCCTTTGCGCCCTCTTCCAAGATACAGGCAGTCCTCGACTTACCACAGTTCGTTTAGTGACCGGTCAAAGTTGCAACGGCACTGAAAAAAAAGTGACTTGGGACCACGTCTCACACTTATGACCGTTGCGGCATTCCCCTGTGGTCCCGTGATCCAAATTCAGACGCTTGGTGAGCGACTCCTGTTTACGATGGTTGCAGTGTCCCTGGGGGCCCCGTTTTATGACCTTCTGACAAGCAAAGTCACTAAACAAGTTGTAAGCTGAGGACAATCTGTATTGATTTAGCTTTTTCTCTTTTTCATTCTAATTTTTAATAGTGGGAAGGAAGGAAGGAAGGAAGGAAGGAAGGAAGGAGATAGAAGGGGAGGGTGGAAAAGGAAGGAAGGAAGGGGAAGGAGGGAGGGAGGAAAGAGAAAGGAAGGAAGGAAGGAAAGAGAAAAGAAGGAAGGAAGGAGATAGATGGGGAGAGTAGAAAAGGAAGAAAGGAAGGGGAAAGATGGAGGTTGGAAGGAAGGAAAAATGAAAGCAGAAGGAGGAAGGAAGGAAAGAGAAGAGGAAAGAAGGAGAGTTTAGGGGAGGGCAGAAAAGGAAGGGAAGGAAGGAAGGGGAAGGGGAAGGAGGGAGGAAAGAGAGGAAGGAAGGAAAGAAAAGAAGGAAGAAAGGAGATAGAAGGGGAGGGTAGAAAAAGAAGGGGAAGGAGGGAGGGCAGAAGGAAGGGAAAATGAAAGGGGGAGGAGGGAGGGAGGGAGGATGGAAAGAGAAAGGAAGGAAGGAAAGAGGAAGGAAGGAAATAGAGAGAAAGGGAGGGTAGAAAAGGAGAGAAGGAAGGAAGGAGAGAGAGAGAAGGGAATGAGAGAGTAGAAGAAGGAAGGAGCGAAGGGAAAGGAAGGGAAGGGGAGAGTAAGGAAGGAAGGAAGCAAAGAAGGAAAAAGTTTTGCAGCCAGCCACACATTCGTTCTTCAATACCCTCCACTCTTTTTTTTTTTTTTTTTGGAGACAAATTAACTGGAATTATTAATAAACACACACACCCGCTTTAGCCTTCAAAGAATGACAGCTGGAACAACCACCGAGCTGGTTTTTTTTTTTTTCTTTCTTCCCTGCCAGGTTTTTGAAGATGTCAACGTGCCTCCTTGGTGCTCCCTGACCCATAAGGGTTTTAATTGCCAGAAAGCCGTCACCCGTCAAACCCCAAAGCTGGACCGACATTAAAAAAGCAACACTGAACCCTCCCCATTCGAATCATGCTCGATCACGAGAGCAGGGAGTGGATTTGTGAAATAAAGGCTGGGTTATTTTATTTTTTTTCCAGCCTGTTTTTCCTGGCTCAGATCTTGCTCCTGACTCATAAAATATTGCATTTGATTGACCCCCAAGTTGGTGTGGGCATGGTCTCCAGGTAGCTTTGCCTTCACAAACCAGAGCGCCTTCTTGGACCACCCCGTCCACCCATTGTCCAGGTAAAATTCCATTTTTCAGCAGGTAAAATACATTTTTCAGCAGGAAAAATTCATTTTTCAGTAGGTAAAATTCCATTTTTCAGCACGTGAAATTCTTCGGCAGGTAAAAATCATTTTTCAGTGGGTAAAATTCCATTTTTCAGCAGGAATAAAAGACAGGGAGGGCTTCGCTTTGCAAAATGTTTCGGGGGCATAATGTGTGCAAAATTTGGGGATGTAATACGTACAAAACGCAAGCTTTGGGCCAGCCAGCAATGGTAAGAGTGTGTCAAAGTGACACACGCCTGATGATAAATGATGCTGAGGTTTGGAAAAGGTGGAGCGGAAAAACTTCCTAAAAAGATTTTGAGCTGATTGCCGGTGGAACTGACCGCCACAAGAAGCAATAGGCTCTTCTTCATGTATAAGCTAGAGAGGAATTATTCAAGTCCGATGTAACTTCATAGCTGAATTTTAATCAATGAATTTTCATCGTTCAGGAAAAGAACTTCACCACATCCAGGAAACAAGTTTTGAATAAAAGCCACAAATACTTTTATTAGGTAGGAAACAAATGAAAGAGAACATCGTTTATTAAAGTGATGCATCATAATAACATCGATTGATTAAATTAGGGTGGGTAGAGGCGGATGGCAGCAGGACTCAGGCAGTGTTGAAGAAGAGAAAGTGTGCCATTCATACAGGACGGGGAGTTTAAAAATGCAGATTATGCAAGCATTCATGAGAAAGGTCTACTAAACCAATTCAAGCAGAAATGGTTCGCTTCTGCATAACGTATCACGTAGCAAGGAAAGCTAAGGTGCTTGCGTTTTTTGAAGAAAAAAATATATAAGCTTATTTTCAGTTATCATAAAACTGATCCAAAGAGAAATAATATTGTTCAAACTAAAGGATAAAAATATTTAAGTAGCAATATTTAAGAGTGGAAAGAAAGAAAGAAAGAAAGAAAGAAAGAAAGAAAGAAAG